TATATATATATATATATATATATATATATATATATATTGACTTCTGTCTTTCCAAAATAAATCATCTGCAATTCTATATATTTCACATCCAGCAAAAATGAAACATTTCATTACAGGACAACAATATCAGCCCTGATGGTTTGGTAAAATGTTAGTGATGAGTGACTAGCTTCAATTTAACATAGGTTTAGTAATTTAAAATAAAATGGTTTTAAATGCATTATAATATCCAGGTCAGTTTATATATATTATACAAATATGTCAAAACCTTAATAGCGAGATATTACACTTGAAAATTGAAGTGCTTGAATACTTTATGAATAGGTATTTTAATATTTAGTACCATCATAATTTTGATTTTAAGATTTCTAAATAATGTTTCTGCAGCACATGTGAAATTGTACCCTGAAGAGAGACGTTTGTGGCAAAAGAAACATCTTTTTAGATATTTCTACCACACTTCGCTTTATAACACACTGACATACACTATAAAAGGCACCTTTTTTTTCAATTAAAAATACAATTTCAAATTTCGCCCTGAGCAGCAGCAGTTTTATTATATATGAATCATTATTAATTTTTAGCAAATAAGAAAGCATCTTGGTGATACATCGCAACACACCAAAAATTTTAATTGAGGGGGGGGGTATTTCTTGTAACCCTTTCACACTGCCTCAACAGACTTATTGTTGTCAAGTTAAAGAAAAACTTTTTTAAACATGAGTATTTATCTGTATGTCTCAAATTTCAGTACAATATCTGTTAATAGTGTGGTCAAATGTTTTATTAAAAGGAAATGGGCATTGAAAGAGTTGAAATATTTCTAATTCTATAGTTTAAAAGTAATGTAAGAATTAAACACAATATTAACATTTGATTGTTCTTTTGGAATTTTTCTCTCTCCTTAGATTTTCAACTTGTTCATCTTACCTGAAATACACACAAAAAAAAATCATTAACACATTTCATCTCTTAATTATCTAACTTTCAGAAAATAAAAAGGCATCATGTAACTCTGTATTTGCTTTGAGTAATCGAATAGAATTTTCATTATATTTCTTTTGTGGGTCAGCAGGGAACAATACTTTCACCTATTTGTATTTTAATTTTCCTGAAATGCTTGCATATTACTCTATTATATGATAACTGTTTTTTTCAAGAAACTGCAAAATCAGGATTTCTCATTAAGTGTGTAATAACAATTTGAACTTTCTGTTTTGAAACAAATGGATTACAATTCCTGATGTTGAGAAGTAGTGTACACCAGTTCATCAGTGCTGACATTTCTTCAGTTTACTTGTATGAATCTTTATCAGGTTCATAATGTTTTAAAGGAGAACCGTTGCTTGCTTTTGAATACTTGTATTAGATCAGAGAATCCTACAGATAATTTCTTTACTTCAGGATGTTACAAGCTGTTCTGGTGTGAAAATCTTGATTAATTGTTCTCCATTCATTTGTAAGTTCTGCTATAGTTTATTTGTTTCAGTCCTCACTTCTAATGTTTTCAAAGTCTCTTAAAGCAAACTGAGTTTTTTATGTTTGGAGTATAAATTGTCATAGAAATCAACACCAGCATAGTTGTACATTGAATGTATGACCTCTATAACATTTTGACTATTTCATAAGCCAAGTTTCCCAGATTCTTGTACTGAAGATAAAAAAATCTGTTATATTTTTTCACAAAATGTTTTTTCTACATGCAAGTAATTGGATCCAGGGTCATTACAGTGGAAGATCTATTCTTGAAGATCACCGTTTCATCTGCTTCCATTTGTTGTTAGGTAGTGGACATTGTGAAATCACAGAACATGTTTATTGACAAATTTCTCTCGGATTGGAGGTATAGTTCCTACAAAAGGAACCTACTCTATTCAGAACTATTGTCCTTGGCTATGATCCTTTTATTTTACAGTATCAATTAAGTTTTGTAATTATCTGCCAATGAACTTTTATCATCAGGTTGAATGCCCATTGTGTCATATTATGCAGCTATTTGTCTTTCCTCTGAAGTTAGGTTAAATACAGACACATGTCACAGTTTCTTGATACATATAAAGCAGTAGCATACTAACTATGTAAAATCCAGTAGACATGTAGGGGAAGAACTAAAAGATCATTGTATGTGGTCCATCTTATAAAAACCAGAACATAGACAACATACATCTAATACAGAACATTATGAAGAGTAATAATGGCTGGAGACGGCTTAAATGGGTAATGAAGAAAAACTTTAATATAAGTTTAACATGACAGCAAATGTACCTGTCTCCAGCCATTATTAGTCTCAAAGTGGGTTCCTCGTCATCGAATTATGAAGAGTAGAATACTTCCATTAATATATATATATATATATATATATATATAAATAAACTAAATAAACTAACGAACGTACTAACACGAG